GGGGGGGGGGGGCTCGTGCAGACCGCTAAGGATTGCCTCGAGCAAGAGCCGAGCTCCTTCCTTGCCGGCTTCAAACTGTCCTCCCGTCTTCTGGCTTGTCAGCCCACTTCCCTCCCTGTGTCCTTGTCCTCATTTGTGTTTGTGCAAGCATCTGTGGGTTCTTCTGGGTTGTCGACAGCAGCACATAGAGCTTCAGAATAACTGTGTTACTTCCGACGGGCGGCGGGCTTCCCCCTCTGAACCCCGGTGTCTGTACGCCCTTCACACGCAGCTCTCCTTCACCCCTTTGGCGGCTGTTCTGGGAACACCGTCGGCTTGTGGTCTTGCTCTCAGCACTCATGTGTGCTCCCTCGACCTTCTGTGGAGTCCTGATCCTGCTCATAAAGGAGCACATCACGAGCCGTTTGAGCTCAGGGACCTCGGTGTCCTGTGATCTCCCAGAAGGCAAGCATGCCCCACGCTCGGTCCACTGGTGTGGGAGACGTGGCAGCTTTCTTGAGCCTTCCTGGGGGTCGGAGGAGGGCACGTTACCAGTGGCATGGCGTTCTGCCTTCCAAGGCACGGTCTGCCGTCCTGATTTGCTTTTTTTTTTGTGTGTGTGTGTTTGTTTATTTTTGAGAGAGAGAGAGAGAGGGAGACAGACCAGAATGTGAGTTGGGGAGGGACAGAGTGAGAAGGAGACACAGAATCCGAAACAGGCTCCAGGCTCTGAGCTATCACCACAGAGCTTGATGCAGGGCTTGAACCCACAAACCCTGAGATCACGACCTGAGCCAAAGTCGGACGCCCAACCGACTGAGCCACCCAGGCGCCCCTGCTCTTCCGTTTCTGATTTCACACTCTCTGCCTACTTCTGTTGAACCTGCTCTTCCGAGGAGGTTTGTTTCCGTCACATTAAGTGAGAAGCCTGAGAATCTCGGTGAGTCTCTGTGTCTCCGTCTGCCCACGTCCAGAAATGTGAGTTTCATGTCCGGTGAGCTTTGGGCCTTTTCCTTTGGCTTAATCACCATTTACAGTGTGACTTTTAGCCTTTGGCTAAAAGCAGATTCTTTTTTTTCTTTTTAAATTACAGAACTGGAACGGAATTGGGAAGCCGTGGATGGCAGCCAGAGAGAAACAGACAAGAAGCATTTCTTCATCAACATCTGCCACAAAGTGCTGCAGGAAGGCCAGGCCAGAGGCTGTCCCGAGGACGCGGCCGTGTGCTCTGTGGGTGAGTGTGCCCAGAGCAGGGGTCGCGGTGGCGGTTTCCCTGCAGGCGTGTGGAGCTCGGCGGCATCCAGTTCGGAGCCAGTTAGGAAATCTTCCTGTGGTTTATGCAGATCTCCTCTGTCTCAGTTCAGCGTCCACAGGGTGATAAAAAGAGGTGATGATTCAAATGTAGGTAACTGCTCGTTGTGCTCTGGCGGCTACAGCACTTCCGTGTCCTGACGTCGGCCAGAGCCTCCTGATGTCGGCTAACACCATAGCCGGGAACAGAAGGAACCACGCTGGGAGTTACTGGATTATCTCTTCACTTTGCAGCTTGAAGAGTAACCTTGCCAGTACTTGTGTAAAACTGATTTTGAGGCTTTTTTTTTTTCATTTAACAGCTTGACTGCCTGTAATTGTTAATAAGTTAGGCCTTAAGGCAAGTGAGCTCTCATTGTTCTCTTCATATGAGTACTTGTATCCCCGAGGGTTCTTTTTGCAGTAGTTTTGTTGGTCCTCCGGCTTTCCCGAGGAGACCTCTCAGTGTGATGCAGATCTTCAGCATGTTCGTTGTCCCTTAAGACTCGCCCTGAAGATGAGAGGCAGGGAGAGGGATCAAAATCTGTTACTAACCTTAGACAAGGAATTGTGAACTCAGGTCGGGTGTTCGGGATTGCCCCAGTTTCCAGAATTGGTGATGTGTCCTTGGGAGCAGGTCTGGGTGTGCCCCTGCCACTGTTTAAGAAGGATGGGGGACAATTTCAATGCTTCCTAGTCAAAGTCAACTGAACCAGGAATGAAATAGGCCCCTGCCTGGCTTGCTGAACGGGTTCAGTTAGTTTCCGCTTTGGTAATGGGACAGACTCTAGTCTCTTGGCTGTGCTTCCAAAAGGCCTTGTGTCTCGGGGGGAGCCGAGGCCCTGAAAATAGGGGAACGGTGTTGCTTCATTGGATGGTGTGACACGAGAGCTTGCTGTCCTCCTTGCCTGCCCCTGGAGGACGTTGTTTATCGTTGCTGCACTTTTCCTACTCAGCCCGGAGGTGGCCTTGGCATCCCCCATGTGGCTGCCATTGCCTGGCCAAACCTGTCACTCAAGAAAAACCCACCGACCATGGGGCCAGGTTATGCGGTTGGGGAATGGACCACGGCGCACCTGCTGGTGGTTCCTGGCTGATTTTTATATACCTCTTCATCGGCATCATTATCATTTTTAATCACGTGTCCTGTTTTGTTTTGTTTTTTTTCCTGTTTCTCTTTTCCAGATAAGAGTGGATTTAAAAATCTAGGCAAATTTATTTCTTCTCCCACAAAAGAGAAAGGAAACATTCAACTCTCGTATTCAGACGGTGATGATTGTGGCCATAAGAAAATAACAACCAACATAACACTTGTGTGCAAGCCAGGTAAAACATTTTAAAAAATGGGAAAAGGCGGGATGTTTTAGTGGCTTTTGCCACAGGTGTGCCTGCGTTCTTTGTTTCTCTTGGGCCGCTGCCAAGAGGGGAGGTAGAAAGGGGTTGTGCTGAGTGTTTCAGGTTCTAGAACCTCTAGTGGTGGTCTCTTGGATTTGATCCCCCACCCCCACCCCAAACCAGTCCAGAAATGGAGAAACCATATGGTGTCGAGAGAGTTGTGTTGCAGTGTTCCAAATGAGTTATGGGTCTCGGCTCAGCTTCCTCTTCCTGAGGACTGATACCGAGAGTTGCCATGCTGGCTGTTGACCTTCTTCCACAGGCGGGGGACTGTACGCGGTTTAAAAGTGTTGTCCAGGATCTCACATCTAAACACAATGCTCTCCTTCGCCCGCCTGTATTTATAGGTTTACATTGTTTTTATGGGGTCAAATCTATATGTAGTCATGCGTTTTTGGAAAATGTTCCTCAAAACATGTATTTTGTGAATGCTCTTCTGTGTCTCACAGTTTATATTACTAATTTTTAGGGACTCCCTCGTTGATAATGGTTTGGTCTTACTATTTTTAGGCATTTCCCCTATTGTTGGGTTAATTGCATGTTTCCAGTGTGGGTGATGGTGCTGTTGCGTATCCCTGTCTACCTCCTGCTGCAATATTTTCTTTGGATAAATGCCCAGCTGTGGGATAAGGTCAAGGGCTAGGACTATTTTTGGTTTTGAGTGTTTTTTAAATTGTGGTAGAATACACATAATGTGAAATTTAGCATTTTTAAGAAACTATAGTAAAATACATGATGTGAAATTCAACTTTTTTAAAGTTAAAAAAAATTTTTTTAACGTTTATTTATTTTTTGAGAGAGAGAGAGAGAGAGAGAGACAGTGCGTGAGCACGTGTGAGTGGGGGAGGGGCAGAGAGAGAGACACACAGAATCTGAAGCAGGCTCCAGGCTCTAAGCTGTCAGCACAGAGCCTGACGTGGGGCTCGAACTCATGAGCTGTGAGAGCATGACCTGAGCTGAAGTCGGACGCTGAACCAATGGAGCCGCCCAGGCACCTGTTAACATTTATTAAAGTGTATATAGTTCAGTGGCATGGAGGACATTCAGTGTTGCGCAGCCATCACCATTGTCCATCTCCAGAACGTTCTCATCTTCTTGAGTGAACTCTGCTCCCACTGGACACTAATGCCCCCCCTCCTGCCCCAGCCCTTGGTAACCCCCCTTCTTTCTGCCTCTGTAGGTTTGACCGCTCTCAAGACTTCAAGGAAGCAGAATCACGGTGTTTGTGGGACTGTTTTTAGACTAGGAATGATTAGCGATATCATTCTTCTTCCTCGTTGACAGGTGATCTAGAAAGCGCTCCGGTGTTGACAACCTCTGGGGATGGCGGCTGCTTCTATGAGTTTGAGTGGCACACAGCTGCTGCCTGTGTACTGTCCAAGACAGAGGGCGAGAACTGCACGGTCTTTGATTCCCAGGCAGGTGCGTGTGCCCACGTAATACCTTTGGTGGTTTGGTGTCACCTGGAACCGCTTAGGTTTTGTTTGTTTGTTTTTTAACTTAAATATTTTCTTTTCTTTTTTTTAAAGTTTATTTTTGAGAGAGAGAGAGAGAGAGAGAGAGAGAGAGAGAGTGGAGGAGGGGCAGAGAGAGAGGAAGATGCAGAATCTGAAGCAGGCTCCGGGCTCTGAGCTGTCAGCACAGAGCCGACGCGGGGCTCGAACTCACAGACCGTGAGATCATGACCTGAGCCAAAGTCAGACACTCAACCGCCTGAGCCACCCACGCGCCCCTTCCTTAAACATTTCCTAGGAAAGTTTTAGAGATAACCTGCTTCAGGATTACATTAATGCTGAAAATTTTGAAAATTGGACATTTGAGGTTGAGATCGTGAAAAACCTACCTCTTAAATCATGGTGCAGGTAGGTTTGCCGAATGCAAAACTTGAGGATCCCAAGAAAAGAACCATGTTGTGAAGGCTTTTTGCAGAAGTTTAGTGACCCAGAAACCTACCTTAGACTTTTCAAGAAGGTCACACTGTGTTGTGGTCATACAGCTTTGAACACACTGGTGGTTTATTCAGTCAGCATTTGAAGCCAGCCAGGGGCTTCAAATTGGGTTTTTAGGTTAATGCAGTAAAAGGGGCTTGGTGGTGGTGAATCCATGTGCAGGGGAAATGTCCGTAGGTGCAGCTCTGGTGGCCTGGAGGGGAAAGCACCTTTTCTGCCATTTTGCATCTTCCTGCCCTCATCAGATGGTTCCTGGGGAGACTTTCTTTGAAGTTGCAGGCTTGGGGCCCAACTTGGGGCCCCTGTGGTCCAACTGACCTTCTTTTTTTTTTTTAATTTTTTTTTTAATGTTTATTTATTTTTGAGACAGAGGGAGAGTGCGAGCAGGGGAGGGGCAGAGACAGAGGGAGCCACAGAATCTGAAACAGGCTCCAGGCTCTGAGCTGTCAGCACAGAGGGGCTCAAAACCCATGAACCGTGAGATCATGACCTGAGCCGACGTCGGACGCTTAACCGACTGAGCCACCCAGGCGCCCCGCAGCTGACCTTCTTGACTGTGGTCCAACTGACCTTACATATTGGCATTGTTTTTACTCTTCCTTAGGGTTTTCTTTTGATTTATCACCTCTCACGAAGAAAAATGGTGCCTATAAAGTTGAGACCGAGAAGTACGACTTTTACATAAATGTTTGTGGTGCGGTGTCTGTGAGTTTCTGCCAGCCGGACTCCGGAGCCTGTCAAGTTTCAAAAAGGCAAGTGTAACTATTTTTAGTTACGGGTTTTCCTTAGGTATCTTGCGCTAACAAATATTCAGGGACAGGTTTGTTCTCTACTGACATCATTGCTTTGCAAGGAACAGTAAACACTGAGAAGCCCTGGCCTAAAAACCTAAACACCAGAGGATGCTAGGAGGTTGAGATCCTGGATAAGGAGGAGCAGGCCACACCCTTGGAATTTACATAATTCCTTCTGAGTCGCTTGCATTTCTGGGTTGTGAGATAGTTAGCACAGGGTTCTCTGTTGGGCGTGGTATCGGTTCAGGTGAGGCGTCGTACGTTAAACCAAGCGTGCTGAGCGTGGCCCTGGGTCCTGGCGTGGGGGTGGGGCTGCCCTCTGCCCCACCGCAGACCCTGGTGATCTGCAGCCCTGGAGCATGGACATTGCCCCCACCACACTGCTCGGTGGCCGTTTCGCCCGTGTTCCAGCACTGCAGTGCTTCTGGCCTTGGTATCCTTTCTGAGAGACGTTTGTTTGCTTGTTTTAGTGATAACAAGGCTTGGAACTTGGGACTGAGTAATGCTAAACTTTCCTATTACAACGGGATGATCCAGTTGAACTACAGAGACGGCACACCCTATAACAACGAAAAGCATACACCGAGAGCCACGTTGATCACCTTCCTTTGTGACCGGGACGCGGGAGTCGGTCTCCCTGAGTATCAGGTAGGAACTGTGCGGTGTGTGGGCGTCCATCGCTGAGGAGAGCCGAGAGGGAGAGAGTGGCAGTCCCGTCGAGGTGGGGGAAAGGAAGACGGTGGGTGGGACAGGGCTGCTGACTTTCCTGGAGTGGGATGAGGCTCTAACCACAGGTGAGGTGTGAGCTCTGGGCTTTCCTGGGGATAAACCATCACGTCGTCTGGCTCCCTGATGCCTATACAGGAGCCTATCGTGGGCCCTTTATTTAGACGCAGAGCTATTATTAGTCTGGTGTCCTGGCCAAATCATCATCTCCTGTGATTTTAATTAATCCTTTTAGATTTGCCAGGGTACGTAGGCAGTATTCATTTTCTGAGCTGTTTATTCGTTCAGTGGGCTGTGTACCTCAATGGTAACCCACCACCCAGTTGGCTTTGGGGACAAAACTCGTATCAAAAATCAGCCCTCAGTGCCACTTAGCAGAGGGTAGATTTCCATCTTAATTTATTCCTGGGAGATCTTCATGTCAGTAAGACAGACGTAGATGGACAAAAGTAGACCGTCTTTCCTATAGTTCTTACCGACGGAAAATGCCCATCATTTTGTAAATGCTGGCTTTATTTATTTTTTTTTTTAAATTTTTTTTTTCAACGTTTATTTATTTTTGGGACAGAGAGAGACAGAGCATGAACGGGGGAGGGGCAGAGAGAGAGAGGGAGACACAGAATCGGAAACAGGCTCCAGGCTCTGAGCCATCAGCCCAGAGCCTGACGCGGGGCTCGAACTCCCGGACCGCAAGATCGTGACCTGGCTGAAGTCGGACGCTTAACCGACTGCGCCACCCAGGCGCCCCGATGCTGGCTTTAATAACATTCCCTTTTTTCTTTGCCATCCCATGTCTCTCCCTGTCATGTGACCAGGAGGAAGACAACTCTACCTACAACTTCCGGTGGTACACCAGTTACGCCTGCCCGGAGGAGCCCCTGGAGTGTGTGGTGACCGACCCCTCTACGCTGGAGCAGTATGATCTCTCCAGGTGAGGCCAGGGTCAGCCTGGCCTTGGCCTTGGCCTTGGCCCTGGCCCGGGTCCAACGTAGTGCTAAGCTGGCTTAGGCTTTGCTGGTGAGCACGTAGCTGGTTGGTAACGGGGAGTCAAGTAGGTCGTGGCGGTGCAGGACCAAGATGGAGAGTTTTAAACAGAAAGAATTCTAACAGTGGTGTGGTAGGCTTTGTGACATCCACTGCTCCTTGCCACAGCAAAGCCTCAGTCTTCAGCTGCGTGGTTTGAAACAAGGATTGTCAGTACAGAGGTGCGGGGGAGGGGGGCAGTACACGGTCTGCTGAATACTGACTTCAGTGAAAGTCGAGATACTCGGGGGTGTTATGAGTCACGGTGAGCTAAATTCCATAGTTTGAATGGCAGGGCATGTTTCATTCTGTGTGTCCTCAACCACTTAGAAATGAATTGTCAGGCTGAAATCCGTTAGCATTAAAAGCGTGCATTTTGCTTTGAAATTTTAGCCTGGCAAAATCTGAAGGTGGTCGTGGAGGAAACTGGTACGCCATGGACAATGCGGGCGAGCGCAGCACGTGGCGGAAATACTACATCAATGTGTGTCGACCCCTGAACCCGGTGCCGGGCTGTGATCGATATGCGTCGGCTTGCCAGATGAAATACAAGAACGATCAGGTGAGCCTGCCCTCCCCAGTAGTCTCGTTTTCCCTGCCGCCCCCAGCACATGACTCAGTGGGCGGAGGTGGTTATTTTGGGACTTCCAGGTCAAAGTAGGCCTGGCTGCTGAAGTGAAGCCCTGTGAGTAGGAGTGGGGCCCCAGCGTAAACTCATCCGCCCTCCCCCCCCACCGATGTGGTCGTGCTTGAGTCATTGTTCAGATTTAGAACTGCACGAAATGCCCAGTGCTGGTGACCTCTGATCTCCATACAGGGCAGAGGACGCTCCTAATGGTATGTCCAGCCTGAGTTCAAAAGTGTCTTTGAGGCCAGTAGATGTCTGTAAAGAATAGTTTTGCTTCCAAAAGCTCACGAGGGGGAAGCCGGCTTGGGAGAGCTGCCGTGGCCGAACAGATCCACGCGTGAGCTCTCACTTGGGGCGCCAGGCTGTGCTGCATCATCGATTGAATGCAGTTACTGCCAGAGTTTCAGTACGTTTTCCTGTGCTCCTTGGACATGGCGAATCTTGAAATAAAGATGTACGTGTGCTTCCTCAAAAATAGCACGTCGGGAATGGGCTTTTCCTGGCACATGTTACATGGCCGCTTGGAGGGGTTTTCCAGGAAGCTGGTGAGCGCACTCTGGTGGTCGAGAGTGAAGTTCCCTGCTGTGTTCACACGTGTGCATATGTGTGTGCGCGCTTTGTTGGAGCAGTGACTTCAGGGGATAGTCGGTCCTCTTCGTTCGCGGGTTCTGTGTTTGAGATTCACTCACTTGCCTGCACGGACTTGTGGCCCACACTCAAATCTGGCCGTGCTTCTGGTCATCCATGGACATGTCCACCGTCTCCTGTTGGCTCTCCTGCTGAGACCACAGTGGAGTGGAGACACGAGGGGCGGGGGCTGGTGGGAAGGGCAGCGCCAGAAGCTCCTGGTTCTGGGCCAGGTGGACGAGGGTTGAGTCCTGCCTTGGATGCCTGTTAGCCGGGCAGCCTCAGACAAGTCACTTAGCACATCTGAACCTCCTTTCCCTTTTTGTAAAATGAGGAAAATAGAACCTGCCAGCATGAGTTGTTTTCAGGATTTGAGATCATCATCTCTGTGGGATATGTGTATGTAAAGGTACGTGATCCCTTTGGGATGATGGTTCAGCGTCTGTGGTGACTTTACAGACACGAGAATCACATGTACCAGTAGTGAAGTCCTCTTTGGAGGGGAAAGCCCAATAGACACGTTTGTTTGCAGGGTTCCTTTTCTGAGACTGTCTCCATCAGCAACTTGGGGGTCGCAAAGACGGGTCCCATGGTGGAGGACAGCGGCAGCCTCCTTTTAGAGTACGTGAACGGCTCAGCGTGCACCACCAGCGACGGGAGGCTCACCACCTACACCACCAGGATCCATCTCGTCTGTTCCAAGGGCAGCCTGGTAAGGCGCTGTGTGTTGCCCACGACCTTGGTTCCTTTGGGTCTTTTGTGACTGAGAACCAGCTGACGTGTCTCTTGTGGAGATGAGCGAGTCTCGAGTGGAGTTTTCTCTCTGGCTTGTGTGGACTCCATTCTGTCTCTTACTTCTTGTCAGCTGGTGATCTGAGAATCCTGGCGGCAGAAAGCGTCTTTGAGACAATTTCACCCAAACCCCAGCATTCATAGATGAGGAAGCTGGGGCACGATGCCGCTCTGATTCACGGATAAATGATGAAGATTATATGTGTGAAACGTGGGCAATCAAGGATAAAAAATTAAGGCTAGGAAGTAGAGAAAGTGATAGAGATTGCTTTTGGCCCTGAGTTCCTTAGCCAGGGTAGAATAGAAGAGAAACCCCAAATAAAGATGCTTATGTACCGTCCCAATTGCTTTTCTAAAAAAAAAAAGTTGGTAAAAAATGTATAACATAATTGGGGCGCCTGGGTGGCTCAGTCGGTGGAGCGTCCGACTTCGGCTCAGGTTTAAGAGTTCAAGCCCTGCATCAGGCTCCATGCTCACAGCTTGGAGCCTGCAGCCTGCTTTGGATTCTGTGTCTCCCTCTCTCTCTGCCTCTCCCCCACTCATGCTCTCTCTCTGTCTCAAAAATAAAGATAAACATTAAAAAAAAATTTAAAGCGTATAACATAAAAGGTACCATTTAAACCACCTTTAGGTATACAGTTCAGTGGCATTAGATACATGCACGATGTTATGCGCCATCCCTGGCACTCATTTCCAGAACGTGGCTATCCCAAATCCAATTGCTTTTTTATCTGGAGTTTTACATTTATATCTAGGTCACATGTTTTTTGAGTAATTATTCAAAGTCTTAGGTGAATGCACAGTGGAGGTAATAGAATTCACGTTTGTTATCAAATAACTTAAAGGGTCAGGTACACATTTTAAGGGTCTGTTCCAGCTTCCTGTAGTTTCTTTGGAACGAACGGCAAAATGTGTTCAGTCCTCAGCAGTCTGTTGAACTTTGTCACATACATTCCAGTTGCCTCGCAGACCCCAAGTTCTCAGTGTCATTTGCCAACATGTGATTTTTTTCCGAGAGACGATTTCTTCAGAGGTCAAGGAGGGGTCTTTGATAAGGGGATGAAATCCCTAGCTGGACGAGCATGGGCCCACGTCGTGCAAGGTGTTCCATGACTGAACTGTAAGCGTGCTCCTTGAGTAGCCCGGGGATGGGTTGGCTGTTTCCTTCCTCAGTCTCAGGAAGAACTCCTGGCTGCCCAGCCCAGCCCTCGCCACCTCCTGGGCATGTCTGTTTTCCCTCCTTGGAGCCTTGCCCACCTCCCCTTCTCACTGCGGTTTCTTGTTCCCACGGAGATACTGGACTGTTCCAGAAGGTTCTCTGGGATCCTTAGTTTTTCAGCTTCCCTGTGACACCTCATGCGGGCAGCGTTCTGCAGTCTTCAGAGCAGCTTCGCGTCGTCACTGTATGTCTGAGTACTTGTGTGGGGCTTGGTACACACGGTGGGCCCCAGACACCATGAACAGAGGTCGTGTCGCAGAGTTCTGCAAGCCACAGAACTTTCAGAACTTTCACCGTTAAATCAGCACCTTTTCACAACCACAGTGTAGGGCAGAAGGCACAGTTTTTTTTTTTTTTTTTTTTTTTAAGGATTTTTAAAACTTCATTTATTTTGAGAGAGGGGGTGGGGCAGGGAGAGAATCCCAAGCAAGCTCCACACTGTCAGCACAGAGCCTGAGGCAGGGCTCGAACCCACCAACTGTGAGATCGAGAGTCAGACGCTTAACGCCTGAGCCACCCAGGTGCCCCAGGACAGATGTGTTTTTATCTTACTGTTAGAGTTGCTGAGGCTGAGGGGGGCGGGGAGGGAGGGCACTTCCAGGCCAGAGGGTGCTTGGTGGGTAAGGTGTGCGCCCACCATCAGGTGCCCAATGTGTCCTCCTGTGAGCCTGGGCAGGTGTCCTGACTCTCTGTGCCTCTGTTTGCTCACCTGTGTATAGATGGTAGGTGATTACAGAACCTGGTTCCCAGGTCATTATGACGCTCGGTTGAGAAATGCTAATAAAACAGCACAGTGGTAAATGCTCTCTCAGCACAAGCTGCTGTTCCCTGTAACGAGGCAGAGCTCCCACAGGAGGCGGTGCGGCGCATGTTTGGGCAACATTTCACTGAAACACACCCAGGACAGTGCCCACATTGTAAGTTACCGGCAGCCGGTGAACCCTCACGCATTGAGCAGGACTTTGCAGCCAGACCCCACACGGTGGCAGTGCTCACAGCGCCCGCGAGGCTCCCTGTGACCCTTCCAGGCTCCTCTGTACCCTCGGTCCCCAGTTCTGAGCTTCTGTCAGTAAAATCTCCCATGCCGGGGTCTTTTGTGTCTTTCTTACGTTCCATACTCTTGGTGTGGAGTGTTTTTCAACAGCGTGGACTTAAACCCAGATCTGGACCCCAATTCTGCCATTCACTGCCACGTGACCTCGGGTAAACTTCTTGACATCTGAGCACGAGAGGTAGTATGTCCTTAGTGGGAATAATAGGACATGAAATTGTAATTAGGGAGTGCGCACTGAGCACCTAGTCTGTCGCTGACGCATAATTAAACTAAGTTCAGTAGACTTTAGCGCTTTGTATGTGCTAGGCTAGTAGTCCCTTGGTGAGATCGAGTTCCATCTCCTTATACTGACTGTTACTCTGCATTTAACCTTTCAGAATACCCACCCCATATTTTCTCTCAGTTGGGAGTGTGTGGTTAGTTTCCTGTGGAACACAGAGGCCGCCTGTCCCATCCAAATCATGACAGACACAAAACAGGTATGCGTGCTGTCCCGGGTTGTCTCGCTGCCCTGCTCCTGGATATGCCCACCCCGGTGCCCCCGCTCTGCGCCCACCCCTTCCCTCGTGCTTCCAAACCTGTTCCTGGCTTCTCCATTTCCCGCGCCTTGGCATCACGCATCTGGGCGTCCCCCCGCATTGCTCTCCCGGAGACCCCGGCTCGCAGATGCTGGGCTGAGAACCAGACCCTGGGCTTTACTCCCCTATTACTATAGATTCCTTCCTTTTTCTCCATTGCCCTGTCCCTTCTGTGTTGTGGTGGCACCCTAGCGGGCTCTGGGGGTTCTCCATCACTGTAGAGATGTGGGGGGTTGTCACTGCAGCACCTAAAACGTTCCAGTGCCCTGTCATCTGCGGGATCTGGCCTGTCTGTTTCAATGTGATGCTCACGGTTTTCAAGCTCCGATCTTGGCCCTGTTACTGCCGTTGCTTCTACGTGCCTTTTGCCGTCCTGGCTTATCCTGCTCTTTGGCCTTGGCCTGTGTTCTCGTCCTTGGGTGCCCCCCCCCCCCCCCCCCCCCCCCCCCCTCCCCGCAGAGCCGTGAGCTGGTGATGTTGTTTTCACGGTGCTGGCTGTGTTCCTTGTGCTCAGTCTTCCTCCTTTCCCTCTCCTTCTAAAAGCTCTGCTTTCACAGTAGAGCCCAGGCCCACCTAAACGAAGGTTCCCACAGGGTCCTGGGCCTGTGGTGCCGGGGAAGGGTAGGGATGGCGGGATGCCGCCCTGCGTCCTCGGTCATGCTCTCTGGGGTTGGGACCCCTGATGCTTCCCCTGAACTGCCGGACTGTGCAGAAGAAAGATGTGGGGGGAGAGTAAGGTTGATGACATCTCCTAGAGGAGAAGGGATGGTGAGGTACCTCATCATGCCTCCCGTTATCATGGTGTTTAAGTGAATGCCTGAAATAGAAAAAGGAACACTTAAACCAACTTTCTAAAGTTTTTCTTTTTCTTTTTTTAAATTATTTATGGGTTATGTATGGTTTCTAACTAACTTTTCCCTTGAGGGTCAGCGGTGGTCTCTTTATTTAGGTAAATATCATAGCCTTGAGAGCTTTCAGGTAAGTTTAATATTTGTCAGCCTGGTATCACACCTGGGCAGACCACAGGGGCCGTATCTGAAGAGGCTGGTGTGGACGGATGCATGGGGCCGCTTTTCTGACAGGGGTTTCAGGTCAGTGGAGAAGCACATGTTTTGTGAGGTCCATACACACAGGTTTGCGAGGGCGCTCCATATTGGCCGTGTTCTTGTGGGATTGGTTTGAATGTATCTCTTCCCCTGTTGTTTCTGCAGGCCTGTTCTATAAGGGACCCGAACAGTGGGTTTGTGTTTGATCTTAACCCATTGAACAATACCCAAGGATACGTGCTCTTAGGCATTGGAAAGACTTTTGTGGTAAGAGTTACATGATGAATTTCTAGTTTGCTTTGAAACAAGGAGAACGTGCGTGTAAGTCATCTGCCGCTGGTGCATGCTGGTGGCAGGTGTCTTTAGGAATGGTCCAGGGCAGTGTGATGGCAGCTGTTACCCAGGAAGAGGTGAAAGAATCCAGATTTGAGGGGAGAGGGAGGTAAAACTTCTACTCACTGCTGTAGTACAGACATGAGGGTGACATTTTTCAGAAAAGAAATTCTTGATCTGTTGCTGTGTGTCTAGAGCAGTGGTCCTGGGCCAGCAGCATTGGCGTCACCCCGGAATTTGTTAGAAATATAAATTCTTGTGGGGTGGGTTCATCAGTTTCTTTTGACCAGCTGCCAGGTGATTCTGATGCCCATTGGAGTCAGAACCACCAGTCAGGAGGAAATGGTACTTACGTTACCCTATAAAAGGGAAACAACTTGGGGTGGCTGTGTTCTCGATTCTTCTGAGAGCACTTCCTTCAGTGATAGCCCTGATATTCTGTCTGGAGCAGCAAGGTGGAAAACCCCCACGTAATGCTGTTCTGTTATGAACTAAGCATTGCTGGAAAGAAAGAACACACGCGTATGTGTATATATATACACGCATATATGTACGTGTATGTGTGTATATACATGTATATATATGTTAGCTTGTGTATATGTATGTATGTACATAGATATATTTGTTTAAATTTTTGCAGCACAGCCACATGGGAAGGAGAGAATACCCTTTGAGAACAGGAAGTTGGGATAAGAATGTCTTACGTGAATTTGACACAGAGGGGAATTTGTCGGTGTAGAAGAGCATACAGCTTGTCCCACAGGCTGGGGGGGGATACCCGAACAGGGTTTGTCCCTCAGCAGCACTTTGGCTGGTCATCTACCCACCCCCAGTCCCCAAACTGCTGCTACAGGGTTCGGTTACTAATAGGTTTATAATAGGTGCGAGTGTATATGGCCACCTGTAAGTGTGAGAAGCAGACAAGAACGTTGTCGACTCACATAGAGGACATGCTGGAAGATAGTAACCCTTATAAAGAACACACTAGAAGCAGCCCAGAGAGCCTCTGCCTTGTGTGCGCTAGCAGGGGCATTGGGTGGTGCCAGCTGTGTCTGGGCTCCTGGGTGCCACCAGGAGAACCATCTGCTTAGGCCAGCGCCACCCACCAGCCGCCTACCCGGCTTTGTCCCCTTGCCACCCGGTCCTCCCGGGCTCGGTGACCCCCGGATATGCCCAGCGGCCTCCCCACGCTGCTGAAGCTGCCGACATCTCCGAGGGTGCCTGAACACCCCCGATCAGAGGGGCCTACAGATGCAGGCCCACAGGACAGCCGGTGCCCACAGCCTGGCAGAGCAAGCCCAAGCTTCTCTCAGCTCTGTGGTTCACTTGCAGGCAAGTCCATGGAAAGGAAAGGGAACCTACATCCAAATTTCGTTAACCATGGCCTCCCGCGCACGGCCCGCACGGCTGCTGAGCACCTGCGTTGGCTGTAGTCCCGATGGGCCGTTTCCCGAGTAGGAAGCTTTGGTCTTTTAAGAAAAGCTGACCTTGATTTTGTGCACGTTGTCCGTGAACACTTAACAGATGTAGAGAAGTCTTTCCTTTCTGCGTCTTCGTACCACAGAACATATTTAACTTCATTTGCATGATAGAATGATACCGGTGTCTTTAGGAAGTACAGGGGATGTTTGCTCCTGGTTCCTTGTAACTGACATTTCAACTCTACACAGTTTCTCTAATATTGAAAATGGTGTCATAGTCTGCTCTACGTATATGTTCCCTCTTGTAGATGGGGCATTGTTCTATGTAATGCATCTTCGGCATTTAGAGATACGGGGCTGTGTAAATAAATATGTGTTTATTATTCCCTAGAAGCAGTTTATGCGTGTTGCCATTTGGATTTTGAATTTTGCATTGTGTACTAACTTCTGGATTTAAGTGCCCAAACGTGTAAATTGGTAACTTGAATACTAACTAGTTAGCCTCTCAGGGTTTGAGTTGCCAGGGCTCTTGTTTGTGCTGAGTTACATGGCCTGTGTTAACGCGTGTGGCTCTTGCTGTCCGGCCTGCAGTTCAACGTGTGTGGCACAATGCCAGCCTGTGGCACCTTCGATGGAAAACCAGCCTCTGGCTGTGAGGCGGAAACCGAGACAAAAGACCTGAAGTATCTGAAGCCAGAAAAGCAGGTTGGACTCGAGAAAACCCTCCAGCTGTCCACCGAGGGCTTTATAACGCTGACCTACAAGGGGCCTCTTTACCCTTCCACAGGTGAGCTCAGAACCAGGTTATTTTGCCACTAACGCATGTCCTGGTGGCTCTGTGCGTGTCTGTGAACCTCCTGAGCGTGTAGGGTACGTGACCATGCAGCACTCCCCTGCCCTCCAGCCTCTGGGCCATGGCATCGCACACTCGAGTTCTCTGTGCTCTGCCAGGCCCCTCGCGTGTGATCCTGTTAAGTGTCGGGACCACACTGTTGACGGTCCCTGTGCCTGTCCTTCCCCCAGGCTCCTAACGTTAGGCCCCTTGGCGGTTCTGGGATGTAAAGCCGTGTGACCTCAGGCTTGTCGTGTAGCCTCTTTGCTTCGGTCTCCTCCTGTCACAGATGGGGATGATGACATTACCTGCCACCTCTGTGGATGGCTGCAGGAGATGACGTGCTGGTGGCTGTGGGGTCTTCACCCGTTGCGGCCGCTGAGCCTCCACGCTTCCTCGGTCCCCCTCGCTGCAGGAGCCCTTTGGTGGTCGTCCTGTTTTTTCCCTCGCCCGCCCTCCACCCCCGAGCGCTCTGTGTTCAACAGAGTGATGGTTCAAGTGTTTAGATCGTGCCATTCCCAGCCACTTGCGCCCGGACTAGAGGCCAGTGCTGTCACAGAGGCTGCGGGACGGGATCCCCCCTTCTTGCTCAGTCCTGCCGACCTCCTGCTTCTGAAACCATTGAGACTCCCTCTCGCCCACCCTCCCCTCCTGAGCTTCTGTCTCTGCTCTCGCCCCTGCCCAAGGTGCTCCCCCCTTAAGATGGCCCTGGGGTCCCTTTCTTCACCTTCTTCGGGTATCAGCTCAGGTGTCCCTTTCCCAGTGAGGCCAGCCCCCTCCTTAAAACCCCCACCACCTGGGGGTCTCTCATGTCTGGGCCTGCTGCATTTTCCTTCCATCAACTTCCCGCCGTCTGGCGAGCCCTAGACTGCATTCCACGTGCTTCGTGTTGGGGCCGCCGGGCTGGAGTGTAAGCTCCTAGGAGGGCAGGGATCGTTTCTGGTTCTTTCACTCCTGCGTGTGGAAGGAACTTAGCGAGTGGTGTTGAATAAGCCGGTGATGTTAGCTAGCGTTGGGGTTGAGGAAAGGATGTTGCATGTGCATATTTTCTAGAATATGAGACCGCAGGACTGTCAGGCTCACCCTGTAAACCCTTTGTCGTGTGGGTCACTGTGGCAGTGAACACGGCCACTCTGTAGTTGACATCAGCCCCCTTGAGACAGACCCAGTGCTGTGATGTCATCATTTTAGAGGGTGGCTGTGAGGTTTGTTCCCAGTGGGGGCATTGTCCTGTTGCTCTGTTTCTTAAAACCTGGCCTCCCTTGTTCCCCAGGGACTGCTGATGCTTTTATCATCCGCTTTGTTTGCAACGATGATGCCTACCCAGGAATCCCCAAGTTCCTGCATCAGGACATTGACTCTGGCCGGGGAATCCGAGATACTTTCTTTGAGTTTGAGACCGCACTGGCCTGTGTCCCTTCTCCAGTGGATTGCCAGGTCACGGGTAAGGCCGAGAGGACCAGGATCAAGGGTGTGTGTATGTGTGCGTAAGTGTAATCACATGTGCGTGTGTGGTGTGTTTTATAGGCAGCATGTTTGTGTTCTGTGCTTCTTTGAAACCCACACTTGCGGTGTTTCTCTGAAAGAGAATCTGGGTATATATAATTAAGAGTTTTAAGCTACGTTTTGTAATCAGAAGCTGCTCAAGAACAGAAGAAAACGCAGGGGAAGAAAGTAAAATACATTCAGAGCTTCTTACTTGAGGACCGAAAAGGCATTAAAGCTCTGTGAGCTGAGCAGTGTCCCCAGGACGCCTCGTGCTTTGCGGGGTCCCTGCACCTCCACGTCGGTGGTACTTTGTTGTGAAGGGCAGTTCTGAGGGCCAGAGCCAGTGTATGTGTCTGTAGGAAGAGCCTTGTAGCTTCCTGGGCCCTTCTGATTCCTTAGTAACGACGTCAAGTTCGTGCATCATCGGTCTTCAGTGTGCCGGTGTGCTAACGCTGGCAAGAGAGCAGGGGTAGCTCGTGTGTTTCCGTGTATTTCAGACCTCGCTGGAAACGAGTACGATCTGAGCGGCCTAAGCCAAGTCAGGAAGCCCTGGGCGGCTGTAGACACCTCCGCGGATGGGAGAAAGAGAACTTTCTATTTGAGCGTTTGCACTCCCCTCCCTTATATTCCTGAATGTCATGGTGAGTAGTGAGCGTTTGACTCGAGTCGCATCTGCCTTCCTGCTGTCCCCCGCCCCAGAGGGATGAACTCCCGGCTCTTGCAGGCAGCGCAGTGGGGTCTTGCCTGGTATCAGAAGACAACAGCCAGAACCTGGGCGTGGTACAGATCAGCCCTCAGGCCGCAGCCAACGGGTCTCTGAGTATCGTCTACGTCAACGGCGACAGGTGTGGGAACCAGCGCTTCTCGACCAGGATAATGTTCGAGTGTGCTCAGACTTCGGTGCGTGAGCTCGTCAGTGAGGACTGGGCCTGCTTGTCAGTGGCTCCATTTCCTGTTTCCCTTCACCCTCTGAACCTTCTCTCTGATTTCACCCTTGGCTGTGTTTTCATGGGTTGTAGGCCTTCAGTAGCATTTGACTAGAACGTACTGTTTTTCTCTGGGTCTTAACATGTTTAATAAGGCTCATGTATTTTTCTCACGGAGATTGAAGGTTGGATATTAATTGTGGCTATCTTTGGCTTAAAAAAAAGATAAAAACAGAAGTTGTTGGTTTCTGTTATAGGGATCACCAACATTTCAGCTTCTGGATGATTGTGAGTACGTGTTCGTCTGGAGAACGGTGGAAGCCTGTCCTGTCGTCAGAGTGGAAGGTAAGACCTGGGGCCCGGCTCACTGATGCTGCAAAGGGATGAAGGGGCAGACATTCCAACCAGCATCTGGGTACAAAACTCCGTAGTGATGGCCACACGCACAGTCGTGAGATGCTTGTTAGTAGATGGATAATTTCTTATCCTAGAGTTTTTTACTCCACTGCCTTGCCACCTTTACCAGGGACATCTTCCCTCACCTACTCGGAGTGACGGCTTATTGGCTTCTCACCTGTGAGAACCGTAACTTGAGGTTTTGTGTGGTTAAGTGGACCTTCACCCTGTGACCCAGGCTTTTCTAGAACGCTGTTTGACAGGCAGTTTGTGTAATGTTACAAGCATGATGGGATGATGTGGAAATGGCATTTAATGCTTATTTTAAGACCGTATTCACGTGATTAAAAATTGTAAGACTTTTTGCCCGAGAGAGTGAGTGCGTGTGGAACTGCAATGGTCCTTCGCTTCCCGTGTGTTCTTGAAGGAGACAACTGTGAGGTGAAGGACCCGAGACATGGCAACTTGTACGACCTGAAGCCTCTGGCCGTCAATGACACGGTCGTGAGTGCTGGGGAGTACACCTATTATTTCCGGGTCTGTGGAAAGCTGTCCTCAGACGTCTGCTCCACGGATGACAAGTCCAAGGTGATCTCATCGTGTCAGGAAAAGCGGGGAGCCCTGGGATTTCACAAAGTGGCAGGTACCGTGGGTTTTTCTTATGCTTTTGTGCAAGAATGGAATCGCATATTAAGGTTCATGCTGAAGGTTTCTTCTTTCCAGAGTAGGAAGAAAGCTGCCTTTGGGTGACATATTCACGTTTCTGATTTCACTTGATTTTCTTAAGCAGAATGCATCGTGACAGATGTCGCTAGAGCTTATTTTGTTCTTACTTAGCAATTCCAGCTATCGATTCTTTGTTGCAACCCAGGGGCACGCTGAAGTAGCCAGTACTTTCTAGAATCAAGTTAGCGGAGATGCATTTAGTATAGGATGTGGCTATAACTTACAGGGTAGGCCGTTGGTCATGATGCCGTCTCAGCAGCTGGGCAAGTAATACTAGTTTGAGAACTTTTAAATAGGAGTAGCTGGGGCGCCTGGGTGGCTCAGTCGGTTGAATGTCCGACTTCAGATCATGGTGTCACTTGTGAGTTCAAGCCCCACATAGGGCTCTGTTCTGTCAGCCTCTTCATATCCTCTGTCACCCCCTCTCTGCCTCTCCTCTGCTTACACGCTCGCTCTCTCTCAAATCATAAAAAAAAGAAGAAGAAGAAGTATGCGATGTGGTGGTGAGTGCATGGGCAGCCCCTAGGGCCATCCTCTTAGTGATGAGAGCCTGTGCTGCTTGTGCCCACCATGAGACCAGAACACTGTAACCGTGGACAAGAGGAGGCCGGGTTTTATTCCTCCTGCGGGGCAGTGGGGCAGGGAGTAGGCTCCGGTGCTGGGAGGCCAGACACACGTGCTCTTGTGGCGATTTATTTGGGGGACGTGACGTGGCTGGGAGACTTTGGGCCCCGAACCTTGTTTTAATCTGGTCATTTCCGAACAGGCCTCCTCACTCAGAAGCTGACTTACGAGAATGGCTTGTTGAAAATGAACTACACCGGGGGGGACACTTGCCACAAGGTGTACCAGCGCTCCACAACCATCTTCTTCTACTGCGACCGTAGCACGCAGAGGGTGAGTGTGGTCACGGCCCACGGGCGTGGCTGCCCCGCTCTTCGAGAGATGCCTCCGCTCCGGCGTTTCAGAGGCCCCTGGTCAGCTGACCGCAAATGCAGTAGTTACGGAAGATGGGTCGAAACCTTGATCAGCGTGTATGGATTTTAACGGACATCACCTCCTTTACTATTTCCATTCTGAAGATTCAAAGTGTGATAAACTACGTGAAGTGTCCCACGTGACATATATGTCGCTCTTCCCTCTTCCAGCCGGTATTTCTCAGGGAGACCTCGGATTGCTCCTACGTGTTCGAGTGGCGAACGCAATATGCCTGCGCACCTTTTGACGTGACCGAGTGTTCATTCAAGTAAGTCCGTGCGTCTCTTGACTCCTTTGGACAGGCTGGTGAACTGCGTGCAGTTTTAACAGTTCATGGTCGGGACAGGGTGTTGGCTTAGGTGGTTTCTCCAAGCCTTCATTTCTTCATATTCAAACAAGTACTTGGATCAGGTTAACTCCTGAACCCTTCACAGCTTTGGGTTTCAGTGATCATTTTGTGCTAAGATGCGTACAGGGAAGTGATTGCGATTGGAACAGAAGAAAAACCTTGCATGATTCACGGTGTGAGTGGAATAGAGTGAGCGGGACGTCACCTGGCCTGTGCTCCACCCTGGCACGCTGCTTGTGTGGCGGGGAGAAGGCGTGGAGAGGACAAGGGCGGAGGTGCAGAGGCCGGGGCGTCGGAGACAGTCGGGGGTGCCCAGACAGCAGGTTCTCAGGGGCTGTCAGTGGCTCTTTTGATCTCTGTCGCCTGTGGCTCCTGGGACTGGGTGACTGGCAGCTCCTGAGGTGAAGTAGAGGCCTCTACTGTGTGTGCATTTCAGCGGTTGCCCTTGGAACTATTGCAAAATAGGCATCTTGTGTCCCGTCCCTGGAGGTTTCATCTGTGGTTCTCAACGGTTGGGGGACGTGCTGTCACTTCTGCTCTGTGATGATCCACCTGAAAAGGGTGACAGACTTACAGCATCCAGCCCTAGGGGAAAGTGTAGTCATTTCCATGTTTTCCTTCCCTGTTTTGTTGTGTTCTCTCCTTTTATCTGGGTAAAGTGACAACTTTTTAAGTTTTAGTAATATGGGAAAGCATACATTCAGTAATATGTGTTTAGCAACTTTGAATCAGAATTTGTTTTGTAATGTTACCTTTTCCAGCTAATGTTTCTTAAGCATTTTCACATGAAACAAATGCATTTCTCATTTCTTTTTTTTTTTAATTTTTTTTTTTTTAATGTTTATTTATTTTTGAGACAGAGAGAGACAGAGCATGAACGGGGGAGGGACAGAGAGAGAGGAAGACACAGAATCGGAAGCAGGCTCCAGGCTCCGAGCCATTAGCCCAGAGCCCGACGCGGGTCTTGAACTCACGGACCGCGAGATCGTGACCTGAGCTGAAGTCGGACGCTCAACCGACTGAGCCACCCAGGCGCCCCTGCGTTTCTCATTTCTATTGGGCGTGAACTATCCTTCTGATAGGCCTAATTCATTCAGCTATTCTCTTTGTGCCACTGGAGACTGTTTTCTGCTTTCTGAGATTTGTGTACAAAGAGTCTTATTTTTGTGCATGAAACCTTTCCCACCAAATATATTTATGCTCAGTTTTTATTTTTATTATTTTTTTGTTTATCTCGAAAGAGCGAGAGTGCATGAGCGTGGGAGGAGCAGAGAGAGAGAATCCCAGGCAGGCTCTGTGTTGTTAGTGCAGAGCCCAACGCGGGGCTTGGTCCCACGCACCGTGAGATCGTGGCCTGAGCTGAAACCAAGAGCTAGACGCTCAACCAGCTGAGCCACCCAGCTGCCCCAATGCACAATTTTTAAGAGAATTAATGAAATCAAAGGAAAATGGAATCGCCGGTTAAAATGGAAGTTTATATGTGCATGTTGTAATGAATTTATAGGAGCGCAAACGTGTGGAAAAGGAGGTCACCTTGTCAATAAGGTTTTCTCTGACCGTGCTATCTAACACCTCAGTCTTTCTCTGCCACCGACCCCAAACCTCACATCGCCCTTCCCTGCCTCATTTTTCTCTTCGGCTTTAATTGCCATTTGATATATTGTGTACTTAAAAAAAATTTTTTTTTTAATTCTATTTATCGTGTTTTCCTTCTACTGGTAATTTCTGTGTCATAAGACAGGTGGTTTTCATCCATTTTGCTCAGTACGGTACCCTCAGTTTTAGCACCTGTCTTGTGAACGAATGAATGAATGCTTCCATTCTCTTATCTCCTGAGTCCTCGTCAAGTGCCATCTGTGACCGCGTCTCTGTCTTCACCCAGACCTGGTGTGTCCCAGGGACAGAGCGTGTGTCTTGCTCACCATTAACACCTCACCGGTGTGGGGCTGGCCCTCAGTAACCGTTCTATTTGGGATTTGTGTAGTAAGTAAACGTTCAGCCCGAGAAGCGTCGACACCAGTTCATTTTTATTTCAGTGGCCGTTGGTCTCCTCGGGGTCCAACAGCAGGTAGCTGGCCCCGAGGGAGCTCTGAGTGGCCTGCTCTTTGCTCTTGTCCTCTCACTGGCTTGAGTGTGGGGAGCACTTCTCAGGCTTGGTCTCTGCTCTTTTCTGGGTGAATACAGACTTTTGCTGAACGAGGTGGTGGGAGAGGTCCAGGGTGAAGTTCTGTCCCGGGGTGAGATCGGAGTCCTGGGACGTCAGCCATAGACTGCACCTTGGATCCTTGGTCCTTTCCAGACCGAGTGCTCAGTGCGCACCCTGAATACACGTGAGCCTAATGGCAGTGTTCTCTTCCCTCCAGAGACGGGGCTGGCAACACCTTCGACCTCTCGTCGCTGGCAAGGTACAGTGACAACTGGGAAGCCGTCACGAGGACAGGGGCCACTGAGCACTACCTCATCAACGTTTGCAAGTCTCTGTCTCCCCAGGCTGGCTCGGGTGAGAGAGGACTCTTGGTGGGCTGTTGGCCTGTGGTCAGTTTGGGGGAAGATCAAGTGGGAGCAGGAATCTTTGAAAGTGCATCCCCCCTTGACATCACGCGAGTGCTTTGGCCATGGGGTGGCAGGAGGAATTGTTTAAGGGCTAATGACTGATCCCTGGGGTGGTCCAGGATAAATCAGCATTGGAGACTCTGCTGGGAACACTGTAATTTTGTTTGATCGTGAAGGGTTAGAGGTAGGTGGAGATGGTCATGGTGGCGGATATTTCCTAGCAGGGTAGGAGACACAGGGTGTGAAACAGAGATCGGGTGTGTGCTTTCTGTGTTTCTTGAGAGGAATGTGGGTGGGTGGTCCTTACATCTAAGGCCATGGGTCCCCTTCTCACTTTGTGTGGCTCCCAGTCCAGGAAGTGGGACTAGTTCTTTACCTGGGCAGATGGCACAGACATTTTGGGGACCGGGAAATTGGCAGAGTTCTTGGTAACTCTTAAAGATGGTATATGAGTGCCGGCTGTCAAAAATGTTCTGTTGGCTTCATGTAGGTAGTTCAGCTGCATCGTATTTGGGGTTCAGAAATAACTTAGGCTGTTGAACCTTGGAATCTCCCTGCACCCCATGCCTCCCCCATTCCATCTATGGTAAAACAGCATTTAACTGAGAAGTCCTGTGATATCACTGTCGTGTCACTTACTTGAAAGAGAAAGAGCTATTCTGGAGTCACCGTTAGCATCAAATATGTGGCGTGTCTGACGTTACCTGCCTGATAAATTCTAGACGGGAGAATCACGGGAGGTAACTCTTGCCTGTGTCTTGTCTCACAGAGCCATGCCCTCCGGAAGCGGCCGCGTGTCTCCTGGGTAGCTCCAAGCCCGTGAACCTCGGCCGGGTGAGGGACGGGCCACAGTGGAAAGACGGCAGCACCATCCTGAAGTACGTTGATGGGGACTTGTGTCCAGACCAGATTCGGAAAAAGTCGACCACCATCCGATTCACCTGCAGTGAGAGCCAAGTCGTAAGTGACACGGCTTTCTCAGTCCCTGGTGCTCTGCGGGCAGCGTGAATCCAAGGGCCACTGAGACTGTCTTGTTGCCCTTGGGATGTGAGCAGAGGGCCCAGGCTGCCCCCGCACAACAGCCCTGCCCCAGCCCTGCGGCTTGTGGGGCACCTCTTTTCTCTGGCTTCTGGCATGCCTGACCTGGCATTTCTAGTTTCAGAGTTGGTTGGTTCTGTTTAAAGTGTGGTTCCCCAAAGGTCCCCCAAAGGCTGTGGAGAAAACTAGTATTTGAGAGCCCGCCCTGTGTCTTCACGGACGTGGCTCGGGAGAAGCAGAAGGTTGGACAAACTCTGTTCAGGGCAGCTCGCCCGCTTCCTGCCTGTGCAACTTGCTCGATTACTTAACCATCCTAAGCTGTTTACCCATTAATAATGTGAGCTATTCCCATCTTGCCAAACCGAAGTGAGCTGGAGGAGGTAAGAGGGTGCCACGCGTCGTTGCCGGGGTGCGGTAGGGGCACGGCAGAGGGGGGCCGGCCTCGTTTCTGCCGACCGTGCCCGTCTCCAATGGGCTGCTGTGTGTAGGTAAGCAGGTGTGGGCTGAATGAACGGTTTCTTGGGACTGTTTCTCGCCACGGGAACGTCTCCACTCGTGAGCTCAAGATGAAGCCCCGTGTGCTGTTGTGTGAGACTAGGGTTGTAGTCAGTTTAGGAATAAGGACAGGCGGGACCAGCACACTTCGTGTTAGGACAGGGCGCCCGCTCTCTCAGCTGTTTGGCCGGCAGCGATAGGAGCCCAGGGAGCCCCAGGAGCCAGAGGTCGGCCCTCTTAAGGGAGCAGCAGCCGAGGCTTCCTCCTCAGGAAACTAGGCACGTGAGCCACTGGGGCTGGACCCCCGGGCCCCGATAGATACTCTCAGCTCCGTAACCGGGCAGAGGCTCAGGGCAGAGAAGAAAGCCGATGGACGCGGGGTGGGGACGCGGGGGTGGCCCGCGAGGGGCTGTGCACGCGGTGGCCCAGGCCGTGCCCTGTGCTGCACGTGGGCTGTGGCCAGGCGGCAGAAGCGTTGGGATGCGCGGAGGGTCGGTAGAATAAATGGCTCGTTCTTTGGCGGGCTTTTTTGCCTCCAGTAGCAGATTTTGAGGTCCTTTGTTTTTCACAATGTTATCAGCTATTTACTCTTTCCTGACGCACCGGAGCCCTGCAGGGCTCCTCGCCCGCCGAGGCCTCCGCCCCTCCTTCCCAGCCCGAGCTGTGGGGAAGTGTCCATGGGCGCCCTAGCAGATTTCCAGCCCTGGGTCCGTCTCACCTGCTCTGCACGTGTTAAGCCCCCAGTGAAACCCCAGGAACGGGTCTCCACCCTTGGCTTTCCGAAATGTGCCCTCACCCCACGCAGACGCTGCCGCGCGTCCTGTGTGGTGCTGTGGAGAAGCTGCTGCTTGGCATAGGTTGACGTCCTGTGGAAAACCTGCCCTGTTGGCAACGCTCTGTCCTTTGCTCGCAGAACTCCAGGCCCATGTTCATCAGCGCGGTGGAGGACTGTGAGTACACCTTCTCCTGGCCCACAGCCGCCGCCTGTCCTGTGAGGAGCAATGTGCACGACAACTGCCAGGTCACCAACCCTGCCACAGGTGAGGGACGCCACCCGTCGGCCACCCGCCCCCACAGGGAGGGACGCCGCCCGTCGGTCACCCGCCCCCACAGGGAGGGACGCCGCCCGTCGGTCACCCACCCCACAGGGAGGGACGCCCCCCGTCAGTTACCTACCCCCACAGGGAGGGACGCCGCCAGTCACCAACCCCCCCACAGGGAGGGATGCTGCTTGTCACCTACCCCCACAGGGAGGGACGCCGCCCGTTGGTCACCTACCCCCACACGGAGGGACGCTGCCAGTGGGTCACCTACCCCCACAGGGAGGGACGCTGCCAGTGGGTCACCTACCCCCACAGGGACGCCGTCAGTCACCTACCCACACAGGGAGGGACGCCACCCTTCGGTCACCTACCCACACAGGGAGGGACACTGCCTGTCAGTCACCTACCCCCACACGGAGGGACGCCACCCTTTGGTCACCTACCCACACAGGGAGGGACGCCACCCGTCAGTCACCTACCCACACAGGGAGGGATGCCGCCCATCAGTCACCTACCCCACAGGGAGGGACACCGCCCGTCAGTCACCTACCCCCACAGGGAGGGACACCGCCAGTCACCAACCCCCCCACAGGGAGGGACGCCACCTGTCAGTCACCTACCCCCACAGGGAGGGATGCCGCTTGTCACCTACCCCCATCAGGAGGGACACCAGCCATCAGTCACCTACCCCCACAGGGAGGGATGCCGCTTGTCACCTAC